CGAGACATCTATTTCGTGCGATTCGAAAGATGACGAGGACCTTGGCGATGACGGTGATGACGATGACGACGACGATGACGACGATGACGATGACGACGTATCGATTGATCGTTCTTATAAAAACGTTAACAATATTGAAGAACTATTACGGGATTACGAACGTAGCAAACGAGGATTTAGAACTAATCCATTTTTAAAGGACGAGGAAGACGATACCGATACTTTTATCAATAATGATCGACAATTATTCAATCACGAGATTGAATATAGAAGAAAAAGCAACGTTAGTAAGGACAGCGAAGCTCACAGGAAAGCATGGGCCGAAACTTTGAGTACAGTTCTCGAATGGATTTTAGCTTTGCCGGTGAGTAAAACTACACATTGTTTTTCTTTCATTTTCTTTTTATCTTTTCTATTTCCAGTCTACAAACTCCGACAAATATTTTGTCTAGTATTGATAAATTAGAGGGGGGAAAAAAAAGAAAAAAAAGATACGATAACGAAATGTTCCCAGGATGAACGGTTGGCGCCGTTACTTCCGGTTTTGGTCCGTGGCGTCAGGATTCTAACCAGACATGCTATCGATCAGATCTTGAAACAACGTCTATCATCTCTGTTTCACCGAATTGCTGTCTTTTACGGATTGACCAACAACTAGGAACAACTACAGCTCATCTGGGAGCAAATGTTTTTTTCTATGGCCCATTAAGAATTTCACGAAGAAGCATTCTCTGGATGAGCTAATGAATTTTTTGTTTTTTTTCTTTTTTCCTCCCCAAATAAAATCAAGAAAGAGGGAGAACAAAAGAGAGAAGAGGAAGAGAGACAGAGATAAGACGTTTAATATTAGAAATATGAACACGTGTGCGAGAACGAAAGGAATATTAGATAATTCTAATTTCTAATTGCTTTGACATTTTACTTTGAATATTACGTAGAATGTAAAAAGGTCGTTCCTGTCTTCTCTGTTTTTTTATAGAATCATTTGTATTTTTTTTTGTTTTTCTAATAATCGAGATATCAGAAAAAATAGTGAAATCGGGGGGTGTTATATAGATACATTAATTTATAACTATGTGTATTAGTTAGAATATAAACGAATAACTCGTAATATACTTAGAAACAATTATATCGAGTTTGCTTTATCCGGGACGATAATAATAATGGTGTGTCCGTTGATTTCTGATCGGCAACGAGTAATAATAAACGAGCGATGGTAGTTTCTCGTTGCTTTTCTCGGTCATAGAAAGACGGTGTCCTGTTTCCAGGCATGAATCTAAGTAAGCCCTATCTCTATTTCGTCATGCGTTTGTACGCCAGTCAACGTAAACTAACATTAGAGAAAAAGAGAAAGAGAGAAAGAGAGAAAGAAAATTTTATTTACGATTTACTTCGCACGCACATCTTCTCGATTCTCCTTTTATGCTCCTTGCGCTTAACTGTAGTTTGCGGTTCAGTCGCAGCCATCTATGCTGTTGTTGTAACTATACTTACGTACGTATGTTGAACTTTTTGCATTCAACTCGCATAATAACAAAACATATGTGCGACGAATTCGCGCGTGATGCAAAGTTTTGACAGATAACTTACGATTATTTGAATAAAATGGGATACAAAAATGTATTCCCATATATGATTTATTTTTAAATCCGCCTTACGTTTACTCCACCCGAATATTTTGTTTGTTATATCTTAATATAAAGTATACTACCACACTATTGTGATATTGTTTTTATTTAAATAGAATTTATTTTCTAATTTTTTGGGTTCTTCTTTTTATGTTAAAGAAGAAGCAAACGAGGTATGCTAATACGTTTTTTTTCGGTTACTTGAAACGCGCTATTTAGAATAAATTTTTCTTGTTTTTCTTATTATATAGTCTATATTCTATACTTGTTAATTTATTTATTTATTCTATTTATTTGTTTTTTATCTTCTTCTTGTTTTTAGGTTTAGAAATAATAGAGAGAATATCTTCTGTAGAAATGTTCGTACTTTCGCAAATGTTTTTAGTTGAAAAAAAAAGAAAAAAAAGAAAAAATAAAGAAGAATATTTTAGAGAGAGAGAGAGAGAGAGAGAGAGAGAGTAGGTACGGCCTATTTGGAGCAAATCCAGGTTAGAATTCCTAGAAAGAAAAATGATTCGAAGAGTTATTGATATATAGTGCGAGGACTATAATAAAATAATACAAAAAAAAAAAAGAAAATATATAAGAAAATAAAATTAAAAAAAAAAAAAGTATATAACATTTTAACGCGCCTTTTAACGTTAACAATCTCGTTAATATATGATTTCTTCTTAGAAAAATATATTTCGCAGGTGCTCCTAATGTGTCGTAACTATTCACGCGATTTAATTAATAATTAATTTCAATCCAGCGTTATATATATATATATATAATGTTTTATTGTAAATAGTCTAAAATGCTAAAAATGGACGGGAAAATGAGATGAAATGAGATGAAATAAAAAAGAAAAGAAAGTATCGACGTTTGGTAATGTTTGGTCCGTTTTTTTTTAACAAATTATTACGTTTAAAAAATAAAACTCGTACGTTTTTGGGAATGAAGAATTAATTATTATTTTTCTACGTATATTATCCCCTTTTATCGATATATCACACGCGTTGCTTGTAAATTAAAGATTTTTAGAAGTGGGTTGGTTTCTTGGGAAGGAGAAATTACGGACGATTACCAAACGACGATTTGCTATTCGTATTTAAAATAAAAAAATAAAAAACAAAGCAAAAGAAACTACTCACTATAAATGTGAAAATGTACGGTACATGTTATAAATGTTTGTTGATCGTTAGATCGTTTAAAACGAAAAGAATGGAGCTGAAAAAAAAAAAGTTTCGATAATATGACGATAATTGATAATAAAACGTGCCTATGTATTATCCTCCCGTATTTTCAATGTATCCCAATCAATTATACATACATATGTATATTTATATACAAATTATTATCAATATATAAATATATTTGTGTATGTATGTGTGTGTATATATATATGCATGGGGGGAGGGGGGGAAAAGAAAAAAAAAACAAAAAAGACAATTAACGGTAAGAGAAGATGAAAATTGACTTAATCATTATACGTAAGAAAATATCACACAAAAAACGCGACACACACAACAAACACACATACACACACGTATCCGACTTTGTCCGTGGTTGTGCAATAGTATTCTAAAGTAAAATTAAATTATAATCAAAATTGTAAGAGAGAGAGAGTACGTTAATTATTAGAAAAAGCAAATAACAACAACCGTGACATGTACGCAAGAAGAAGAAATAAAAAACAACAAAAAAATGATGAGAAAATTAATCGACGTTTAATTGATCCCATTTTAGTGTTTCTATTCGTTTAAAATAATTTTTAACGATCATGGATTATCTCTCAATATTTGTAAGTAATTCAAATATTTTTGAAAAACTATCTTATCAAGCGGTGTCATGTCATATTGAAAATTAATAGGGTTAATAAATTGAGAATATTATTAATTTTTGTCTCGATTCATGCCGGCTTTCTTTTTTCCTGTAACAAACAACCAGGACCGTGTTTTAAAATGTCTCATATCTAATAAAATATATAATTAATATACTGAATATATAATACAACATCTATATAAAGTAAGTTTTATCACAATAATAATAAGTATAGTATTAATATTCCCAAAATCTAGAATATAACACGTTAAATAAGTATAAGTAAAATGAGAATAATTTTAATCCCTTTTTTAAAAACAAATATAAACACCCCTCACCCCATGCAGAGCAGAAAAATGACTCTCTTCTATTGGAAATAAAATGAGAAATACTCTTTTACAAAGAGTTACAATTAAAAAAAAAAACAAAAACAAAAAAACAGAAATCTATCCTAAGTATTAGAACTGTCGGTAAGAAAAGAAAAGAAAAGAAAAAAAAAACTAAAAAAATAGTAAGAAGGTAAAAATTTGTGTCAGTATTTATGGTCGGAAGAGTGCGAAGAGATGTCGACCATTTCCTGCGTAGACGAAACGTATTTCAGTTCGGTTTCTCTTAACGGACACACACACATACACACAGAAGAAGAAGAAGAGAAGAAGAACCCGGGGGAAAGGGAGACGATTCTCTTCGTCGTCGTCGTCGTTGTCGTCGTCGTCATCGTCGTCATCGTCGTCGTCTGCGGTTGAAGACGAGTCGAGTCATCCTCGTAAAGAGAGAAGCTTATGAGCGACGGCCGCCTCGGCTTATTCCATGGTTTTATTCCTCGCGTCCTATTCGCAGGACGCAGTGTACGGGGCTGTAAACATCACGGAAGAAAAGTGGGAGAACGTAGAAATCACTCCAAAGTGTGAACTCAGTTCACCAAGTGGAAGGGGGTGGTTAAGAGGGGAGGAATGACGGCGGCAGCCAGTAGAAGTGAAGAGAAGCTTTCTTCTTCGAGATTAAACTCGAGATTGCTTGCCTTCAGCTCCGTTTTTAACGATCCATCTCGCTTATTTTTCTATTTTTTTTTCTTTTTTGCATTTCCCCCTCCCCCACTTTTCCCGCCCCATTTACTTTCGCACTGGCTATTATTTAATATGTTTTGTAATATCGAATTGTATCCTAAACGTTTTTGACACTTCTGGTCTTCTTCTTCTTCTTTCGTTTAATTTGTGTATTTTTTTTTTTAATTCAAAAAATGATCAAACTACGTACAAATTTGTTTACGATGTATTATAGTTAGAAGGGTGTGGGGGAAACGTAAGGATAACTATCCAGGTACGTGTTTATTATTTCATGGAAAATATTTGTATATTTACAACGTGTGTTACATTATCTGACTAATCATCATCATCTCCTCCTTTCTTTCTTTCTTTCGATAAGTACATCATAACACTGACTGTTCTTTCGTTTTTATATTTTTTCTTATTTTTTTTACGATTGTAGAACGAACGGCGATATCGTTGACCAACGTTCATACGTATACTCTACCAGAAGCCTTACCATTTTTCTTTTTTTTTTTTTTTCTTATTTATTTATTTATTATCTTGTTTATTTTTTCGTATTTTTATTCTTCCAACGAACTCACATTCTTCCTATCCCTTTTTCGAATAATATCGAATAAGATAGCGTGTTAATAGCTTTGATAATACTTGAAATCTGACATCATGAATATTCAGTCTTTTTTCAATCAACATCAGATTCTCAAGATTGACTTACGATAGTTTATAAGTATTTTTATTATTTCCTTTTTTTCTTTCTTTCGCGAGAACTCTCGCACTATACAAGAAACAACGAAAATTTTCGTACGTATTTATAGCAATCGTATCGATTAACAGCCTTTCCTTAAAACAAATTTATGACCAATTACCTCCCACCCCCTCCCTTTCCCACAAACGCAATACGTTGATTATTAGAAAGAATTGTCGGTAATAGAAAATATCCTAAATACACACTTTCTTTCATCGTTCATATTCTCACACACTTTCACCGAACATATTTCACTATGACATTTTCAACATAGTACGAAACAAATTGGTCCTACAATGAAACATCTCGTTAAATCCTTGTTTTTTTTTCTTTCTTTTTCTCTTTTAAAATTATGCTTTTGAATTAATAAGGTCTCCAAACGTCGTTCCTTTGTTCGTTTTCTTCACCGAGAACACCAATCTCAAGACGATTACTACTGATGGTCAAATTACCACCAGCAATGGTTACTTGTTCATCGCTAAGATCACCGTGTAGATGCAAATGAATTTGATTCTGATTGACCGTACTGTAAAGCTGCGGATAAAGAACCATAGGGGCCGGACTTATGTAATTTTGACTTGGATTATTGTAATAGCCTTGATAATTAGGATTGTAGTTGTGCGAGGCAACCGGTACCGGCGTAGCTGGTCCAGGTGTCCAGGAACCGTAATGATATCCTGGACTTGCGCTTCCTGTTCCACCACCTGCGAAGATATCAGGGTCACTAGGCTTTCCAGGTATCAGAGGTAACGACGTCGACGAAGTTCCGTGACCGGGATACATGGAAACGCAGTTTGGAGTGTAGGTGTCCTGTTGACTCTCCGGTGGTAAAACTAAAAGAACAGGTGATTCAAGTGCAATGATTTGATAACCACATTTTTAATTGTCGAATTAAAATGGAAAATTATTATCGTTTGTTTATGTTTACTACATTACAAGTTAAATTATATTATTCGATTGTGTCATTAAAAAAAGAAAAAAGAAAAAATAAAGAATGAACGTTTTTTTCCTGGAACGCGTCTCGTGAATCATATTGGTTTTAATAATCCTTGAATCGAAATAATTACGCGCTAATGTATGATAAAATGAGGAAAGATTTTTCTTGCTTGAAAATTGAACGATCTTGAACATCGATCGACTTACCGGTTGGTAATGGTACAGGTTCCGTTGTTGGATGATGAGATAAGGATTCACCGGGATAAGAGAATGCACCACCTGGAATTGGAGAATACGATCCACCGCTACTTACTGGTGGAGCTGGATAAGAAGGAGCTGTCGATGGATAAGACCATTCAGTGGTGCTCGTACTTGTGTCTACAATCAAAATAAAATATCCAATTTGAACGATACATGTGTTTAATTTTAATAGTAATCCTGATTGAAATTGGAAAGAAATCGAAAGTTACGAATTTTGTAGACGAACGGAAAACCAAAACTACTGAATATACAAATATCGATATTAGCAAATAGTTCATTAAAATTCAGCATCCGCCGTTGTTCAGAATCCGAGTGTCGGTAACGGGATTTCGAGTGAGTAAGACCAATGTATTAATTGGCATGAGTCATTGGTCGAAACGCGACGGAAGTTTGAAATCGTTAGTCGGAAATCGATGTTCATAAATTCGCTTTAAACGTTCCTGATTTAAACACGTTCGTCTAACGAGAAAACAAAGTTGTCATTAATTTATATTGTCTATTTTTAACAGATTACAGTGGTTTTTTTTACCGACAAACGTTTACGTTCACTGCCGATAAACTGTCGTCGACCGACGATACGTGGAATTATTTTTGCTTAGTATAAAAAAAATAAAAAATCATTAATTAAATATAAATTGATTACTCCATTTGTATTATAGTATCGTTTGATAGAAACGAGATGATTCTTATGGTGAATTCAAAATAATATAATATTCAACGAAATTTCAATGCCGAACGAGTTTATTATTTATCACGTTAAATTCTCGGTAGATTTAAAGTTTTATAAAGTCAACTGCGACTTTTCATGATTAGCCAGTCCGACGTCGTACGATGAATGAATTTCCAAGCACCGGAGAAAGGACAAAAAAAGAAAAGAGATAGGATGATAGTGAGAGAGAAAACGTGGGTATAGTTCACAGAAACCAACATCGAAACATGGAATTGTATGAGTCAGCAAAGTGAAATTTCGTCTTTATTAATTCTCTCTTTAAATCCGAACTGACGAATCATTATTATAATAGATACACACACGCACACATAATATATTGCAAATATACTGAAACAATGTGAAAATTCTAATAAAATTGAAAGTAGATTATAAAACGTGCGTTTGAAGAATTTTAATTTATTCGATGCATCGAAATGAGGGCATATGTTTTTTTTTAAAATGAAATTATTCATACTCTTCTTGTTAGACTCGATCATCATCGTCGTCGTCGTCGTCATCATCGTTGTGAGAAAAAAAAAAAGTACACGATAATACTTTTTATCATTCATAATCTCAGAAACGTAAAACACGTTTGCTGTTGGAATCTCCGTGAATTTAACTTGTGTATGTGTATATATATGTGTGTGTATGTATGTATAAGAAAAAGAAAAAGAAAAAAGAGAAGGATAAAGAATAAGAAAGAAGACATATACGTGACGAAGGAAATCGTTGTTGACTGGCGAGAAACGTAGCCGTCGACGGAAAGTCCGAGCATTGACGATTCTCGTCGGGTTATAACCGAAGTCGATGACAAAACTTAACTTTCAAGGGCGAGTCGTTTGTTTTATCCAATCATTTCTCAGAATTCTCCTTTCTTCGTAATTTTTTCTTTCGAAATTTCAAAACTTGCATTGAATTTTTGTTCCAATTTTGAAAAAAAAAAAAAGAGAATAAAACCTAGCACATCTCGTTGAATTTTATTTTTTAAATCGTTATCGATTTTTTTCCGTAATACTTCTTTACAAATTTACAAGATACGACAAAGAATTCCATTAGGGAATTATTTTGTTATTACATTCGCGTCAGGATTTTGATAACTATCGTTGTTTTATTAACATTTTAAACAATTTTGTGTATCATCGCATTTTTATATTTTAACAATTAAATCTTATTTAATTAACGCCTTTTCAATTCGTTTAAAATGGCAAGAGAGAAAAAAAAGAAAACGTTAACAGCAGTTCGTAATTTTTGTAAAAAAAAAAAAGAAAATATTAATCTTAAATTATTATTATATATATATTTTCTCTCGAATAAGAAGACACATAAATCGTTGACACTTTATGCCAGTCTAAGACAAGACAGTTAAATACTTTTCAAACGTTAAACTTGTCTACATCGGATGGTAACTCGTACGAGCGCGAGGTGATAATTATGGTCAGCTAATGGCATGCTCGCGAATGCGAATATTAAGTGATGAGACGCACGCGATCAGAGTAGACGATCCATCATCGGTAGAGATCTTTCTTTTTTTTTTTTATATTTTATTGACGTTACATCGTAAAGAAAAAGAATAATAGATAAGTTTTGTTTATTATTCGACGAATCGATAATTTAAAGATTCATCCGAAAACATTAATAATGAATGAATGAATGAATGTGAATAACGTTTAAAAAAAAATGTTTATCGATTCGAATGTGAATTTCTCGTTCTAATTCTCGAAATATAATTTGTTTTTAAAAAGCGAGTAGGAAGATTTAAAAGAAAAGAAGAGAAGAAGAAAAAAAAGAAGAACATAACCGATGAGAGTAGAAATGAAAGGGAAGAAAAAGAAAATGATTAAAAAGAAATATTAGAAGATATAGTTTTGACATAGGACGGTTAAGTTAAAAGTCGAGGTCGTAGCCAGCGTGGGTCCACCGAGGATGAAACTGTCGTTACGCCTACCGGCGGAAGGTCGAGGTCGTTTCGGAATTCTCAAAGGGGACCGCCGTGGATAGGGCAGGGTAGGGGGCGTGCGGGTGATTACCGAAAATGGCCGTGTATTTGCCGCAATTACCGGAACAACGGTAACAAAACAAAGCCACACACCAGCGTGCGCCAGTTCGGGACGACCATCTGTTGTCGAACTGCTGATGGTCAGTTAAAAAGTCTTCGATTTTTCTAATCTATATTAATAAAACTACAAACACTTTCTTTTGTCGTTGGACAATGCCGATTATTATTATATTTTTTTGTATTGTAATATATATGTTAATAATAAAAAAGATAAGGGTTACGAATTTCGTATTTAATCGGTGATATCTTTTGTATATCATATCAAAATTGTGCTGCGTAACAATTATATTGAAACTAAATATGATCGTAGTATATATATATAAAATACACGTAACAAAAAAAAGAAAACAATATAAAATTGACAATACGTTGCATCACGAATTTCATACTTGACGACTTAATAATAGAAATAGAAGACGAAATAAAAAAAAATAAAATTAATCGATTGCGTATATATAGAATAAAATAAAAAAAAAAAGAAACAATATCGACGAGCAAAATAAATCAATTTCGTTAAAAAGTAATCTATATTTCACTAAACACAAAATATCACATAAAAATGTTTTTATACTCTTTCAAACGGCGAACCACAATATTTTTCATCTTGTGTCGAACAAACGACAAAACTTAGCTAGAAGATAATTGAAAGGAAATAGTACTCGATGTCTCGAATGATCTCTCAGTTCTTTTCGATTGAAGCAGATCGAAATAAATAAGTAAGTAAGTAAGTAAGTAAGTAAGTTGGTAAGTCAGGAAGGAAAGAAGGAAGGAAAGGAAGAAAGAAAGAAAGAAAGGCCCGTAGATCCGCTAACCAGGTGGAAGTCTTGGTCACGGCAATGGGCATCGGCGCAAGACGATCGATTCTCAACGGATTCTTTAGCGTAGAAAGAAGGTGTAAAGGTTCTCGTCGTTGATCCTGACCAGAAGGAACGCACGAGTCCTGACCAAAGGAACTCCGAGTTGTTTACTACTTCACTCTCTTGTTCTCTCTTTCCTACTGTCTCTCTCGTTTACTCTCTTGCTCTCTTGCTCTCTCTCTCACTCTCTCTCTTTTTATCTCTTGTTCTCTCTTGCTCTGCGGGTGTGAAACCACAGTGAGGTGGTTTTGGTGCTTAGTCCCCCGACCAGCCATCTACTTAACGAACCGTCCATCGACCGCCGTCATTTCGTCGTTTCTCGGTTTCTCTCCCACCTAACACCCTCCCTCTTTCTCCCTACCTCTTCCTTCACCATCTCCTCCTCCTCCCCCAGGTCTCTACTCTTTCCATCTTTCTTGTTTCAACAGCATCGTCCGGTGGGTTCGATCGAGCTCATCATCTTCTTCGTGCTACCGACACTTGAGATCGTTCGTAGATCATCTTCCGACGATCTTATTGAGAAGAGAAATCAGACAGAAATAGAGAGAGAGAGAGAGATAATATTTCCAATATGATATCTATGCATATATATGAAAGAAGAGAAGGAAGATTTAAAGTAGACAATTCTTGAGAAATAAACAACTTACTATCGTGTACTACGTTCAACGTAGATGTTGGCTTTTTGCTCGATAAGAAGAAGATGGATTCTTGAAAAAAGTGTAAGAGAAATCTTGTCTCCGATAGAAAGAGAGAGAGATAGAGAAAGAGAGGGAGAAGTTTGTGACGGAATTCAGAATCTGACAGAGAGAGAGAGAGAGAGAGAGAGAGAGAGAGAGAGAGAGAGAGAGAGAGAGAGAGAAAAAGAGATATTGACAACGAAGAGTACGAAAGCATAGGGCTTCGTTTCCCACCGAGATTGATGCTCGCTCGGTCGTGTAAGGTAAGTCGATATTGCGTCGTCTCGATATACTTGCTCAACACTCGCGCGTACGACGAGAGACGAAGAGAAAAAGAGAGAGAAAGAGAGAGAGAGAGAGAGAGAGAAACAGAAATAAAGAGAGATAAAATGAAAAAGAGTAAGAAAAAGAGAGAGAGAGAGAGAGAGAGAGAGAGAGAGAGAGAGAGTAGCGTAAACCTGCATATTCAACGGTCGCAAAAGAAGAGAGAAAGAGAAAGAGAGAGAGAGAGAAGTCTTATGCGAGCATACGAGCGAGCTCAGGAAACTCTTGCCTCCTTGCGTATCGCTTACCATCAACGATTTCTTCTTATACCGAGTATCCTGTCTCGAGGATAGTATTTCTTCGTCGCAGGGACGACGGGATTCGACGAAGGATGCGGGGAAAGAGAGGGAGAATGGAAGCGGCGTTTGCTGTATCGTTGTTGCTCTTGCTTTAGCTTTTGCTCTGACTTTTGCTCTGACTTTTGTTGTTGCATTCTACGGATACGGATACGTAGGTATACAATTAAATTTTCAATTAATTAACGAAAATAAAAA